ATTAGCCCATTTTTACCCCCATGATTGCCATGTCATTTCTAAATCTTAACAAAGTGAAGTATAATGACTCTTTCATTAACTTAGAAATTCCCAGACAAACAAATTATTTCTAAGGACATTTAGTACTTGGTCAGACAATTGCAAACATATTGCCCACAAAGGATACTTCATATTTTTAGGTGTAGATCTTAACAAGTACCAAAAAAGAAGAAGGAGGACATGGGAAAGGAAGAGTAGAGAAGAAAAGAAGGGACTTTGCTGGTGATTAAGATTTTGTGCTCCCAATGCAGGGAGCTGGGGTTTGATCCCTAGTCAGGGTTTTCCTGGTGGCTCAGACAGTAAAGCATCTACCTGCAATGCAGGAGGCCTGGGTTCGACCCCTGGGTAGGGAAGATCCCCTGGAGAAGGAAATGGCAACCCACTCCACTACTCTTGCTTGGAAAATCCCATGGACGGAGGAGCCTGGTAGGCTATAATCCACTGGGGTCGCGAAGAGTCCGACAGGACTGAGCGACTTCACTTTCTCTTTTCTTTCAGGGAATTAGATCCCACATGCTCTAACTAAGACCTGGTGCGACCAAATAAATAAACTTTTTTTTTTTTTTAAAGAAAGAATGAGGAGAGAAAAAAGGAAGGACGGAAAGAAAGAAAACAGTTTTAATTATTAATACATAAAGACAATTGCTTCTATAATGATAACATATTCTTCCACCAGAGGGCAACATTTGCATGACATTTAAATGATCTCTCAAAAGCATTTCCTAACACAAAAATATAAACAAATGCAAACTTGTAACACTGCTATTGGGTACTATCTTATGTAAATTTTGAAGAATACAAAATTGGATGATGATGATAATTATTTAAACAGTTGCTTATAAAACAATAATACTTAGTAAAACACAAGTAATAAATTGACTTCTTTAAAATATAAGAAGATAGAACTTTCAGAAAGGACTATATTGCTCTATGTCATTGGACTTTTTTTCAGTTCATTATTAGCCTTATAACTCAAATATAATAAAAAAAAATTTAGGGTAGAAGAAATGAGAAAATACTGTTCAACATCAATGAATAAATTAATGAAAAAGTCATAGAATTTTACATGTGGAAGGGATGATAGAGATTATGTGCAAGCCTTCATTTTTTTACAAATAAGAAAATCAGTTTATTAAAACTAAGTAACTGATTCAAAGTTGCAGGGATGATAATCAGCAGAACCAGGATCCAAACACAGTCAGCTGATTTCACATTTCTTACTCTACACCATTGATATTCAAATTGTGATTCAGGGGTGCAGCCCTGGAAACTTGTTAGAATTGATGCACCTCAGTCTCCACTGCAGAACTATTGAGTTAGAATATGTATTTTAACAAGATCTTAAACGGTGAAGAAACTACTCTAATCCATGTTGCTTCTTCATCACTGGTTTCATGACTTCAGGCAAATCATTAACTCTCATTTCCCTCCTCAATAAACTAGAAATAAATTAAAAAACAAAAAATAAAAAACTGGGAATGAAATTAGCTTGAAGAATCATTATAAAGAATAAATGAGATCATGTAAATGAAAGTCATTCATAAATTATAACACTACACACATTAGTTGTAGTCAATGAAACCTCCATTTATTGATAACAGTGCTTGAAAAAAGGGGACAATTCTCTTAGAAGAATTGTCTAATAATGCAATTTAAGGCTAAAATTGGATGGAAGATATTAAGGGAAGGTGTCCAGAGAATGAAAGACTTTTTCAGTGTTCCTAAATTAATATCATTTGTATAACTATGAATATTTCCTTGCATAAACTGAAAACTGGTGATATTAAGGCCACAAAGGTACATATTTAATGTTTGGATTTGGGGAGCATGCATGAAGAAAATATGTCAGATTAGTAACTAATATCTGAATATATGTCTCTTATATTGGGTTTAGCTATTAACCTAAGAATAGCCTAAATGGTAGTCTAGTAACAATTCTTGTAATTTTCACATACAACATTTTTATGAATTTGTTTATGAATTTGCTCAAGATGTCCCCTCAGCTAGGATTGCTCTAAGTGCCACCATCTTTCCCCACCCAATTTCCTGGCCTGTCATCATTTTTATAGGACTAAATTTCTCTTCAAGTATTAAAACAGACAAGGAAACATCACGTCCTGAAATATTTTCTGTACACTTTCACTTCCAGGCTGGGTTACTTAACTTGTCCAGTTTCACCCATAAGTAGTTGTAATTGTATTTATGTGTCTATTTCCCATACAACTTGTAAGATCTTTCAGGGAACAGTCCCAGAACCTAGTGAAATTTTGAGCATTAAACAATTATCTTTAAAATGAATAAATGAATATTAGAAGTAATTCTGATTAAACACTTACCCTTTCATTAAGAGAATGGAGAAGAGAGCCAAATGACAGAGATTTCAATGAGGTGAATGTAATTATTTTACACTACAAACAATGCTTTTGTGTTGGATTTGTGTCTCATATATATGAGACTCAGCAATCAGGTTTGCCAGTGATTTAGATCTTTAGTCATTAGGGCTGAAACTTAGGCGGTAATTCTTAGAAAAATCATTTTTTTATCACCATCTTAACTTCACAGTTATTTATAGGACTTCTATTTTTTATATAATTTTCTGGAATTTCAAGATCACTGAAATCCCTAAATGAATTAAATTTAATGAATTTTGTCATGAAAGATTTGGAAAACATAGATACTTTGAAAAGCACTAGATGAGTCAAGTCTGATGAGCTGGAAGAAGGTAGTTTGTTTGGAAGAAGATAGTTTAATGTTCCCCCCCTTGTTTTTATAGTTGATCACTTTTGGGGATGGATACTGTTTTGAGGCATTCCAGAGTTTTAGGAAAATCTTGTTTAGTATACTAATAGGAGATATATATATAATATATATAAATACACATCAAAATAAGAGAAAGATGTCCCCAGTATCCTTTTCTTTATTATAATTCATAATAAAATATAATTTGATAAATGTTAAATTTAATAATAGCAGATGGCTTCAGCTACTTTTGAAACTTCAGCTATTTTCCCACTATCTATTCAGTACATGCATGTTCATTGTATTATTTGGCCTATTTGGGGAATATTCTTACATGATTTTGTATTTAGATCCATATTTCTGAGATTTGGTACCAGAATCCCTAAGAAAAATCTACTCCCCCTGTTGGTTTAAAGGAAATTCAAGGATTTTGACTTTGAGAATGTAGTTCAAGGACACTCTGTTTTGTAACTATTTGCCTGAATTATATCTAAGAGGTTTGTGATTCACGTCAAATGCATTAATAATTAACATTAATCTTGCATAGTTTCCTCACTTTGCTTAATGAAATAGATTCATTGGTGCTGAACTTACATACCTGAGAGCAAATGTCTTTCATGAATGTCTCTGTAATTCTGCTTTAGAAGAAGATGTTAGAAAATAAAAAAAAATTTATTTGAAAAGATTGTAAGTAATTTTAAATAAATCTTTAAAATACATCAGCGATAATTTGTTAAAAAGCACAAGGTGTAGCCACAAATGTCCTCATATATTGATATTTTAGTAGTGTGTGTGCTGAAAATTAGTTAAAAGTAAAGAAGCATACAATTCCAAGGAATTTATATTAAACCGCTTGTTTTTTATTTAACCAAGATCACTGAGGAACAACTATTCTCTTTTTTAAAAAAATATTTCTCTACTCTCTCTCTCTCCCCCTCTCTGCCTTCTTCTGTCTCTATTATCCCTCTTTCTTGCTTCCTCCTTCTCTTTCTTCCTTTCTGCCTTTTTGTTTTCTCTTACCTATCAGGGGTTAAAGCAAAACACATGAGCAATATAATTATGCAGTTTGTGTGTATATAATTTATATTCAAGGGAGCCCAGATGCCCCAAATTCCACAAAAATAAGTAAAATATGTTGTAATCTTCCTTCCCTGAAACAGTCCGAGTTGGCATCAGCATGCTGGGTAAAATGTAGCAAACTAGAAGTAACTTGTCAATTTTTAATAAAATCTTTCTCCCTTGCAGAGTTAAATGCACCATTCTCCCTGCAAACCCTGGCGATGATGACATCTTCTCACTTGGTTTCCATAGCATCCATTCCTGAATCTCCAGTGTGGTCCTTGGTCAGGGCCATCCTTCCAATTCCCTTCCCCTAGAAAGTTGGCAACCTGACCAGCTAAAAGAAACCGCCCCTTTTCCTGAGACTTACTCTGTCCGTGGTGCTGAACCATTTTGCCAAGAAGCGCCCAGACGGGCGCTGTCAGCGGTGCTGAAAAAAATCTTCCCTGACGCTGCCCAAATCAGAACAGTGTATCTGTTATTTACTCACGTCCTCAAACAGCAGTAAGCTTTCTCCATCTTAATTCGACTCTACCGCAGAGCAGAGTTTGCGCCGGCGTGATGGGAGGAGGTCATGGGCAAGAAGGAAAAACTAATAGCAGCATCGCTCACCTGAGACCTAAGATGCTCCCATGAGTTTCGGAAGTGCTCTGCTCGTTACAGCAAAGGCACCATTTTAAAAAGTACTATTCTTTTGACTTCGTCCTTACACAAGGGTTCTGTGATATTTCCACCCGCGTTAGAAAGGCAGAGGATTTGTCAGCAACAAGGCTTTTAAAACCGAGGATTTACATTGTTTTCGAGTGGACGGACTTCCAGAACAAGGACTCATCTGCACCCGCTCAAATACCATGGCACTGCGTGCGCCCTTTGCCACCGGATCCTCCCCTTCCAATGAGACTTTCTGATTGTGTCTACCAACTCTCCTATTAGGAAACCCGTGGGTTGCATGCAGCTATTCTGTTGTATTCCCGTTCTCACTCTCCCTCCCCTTTCTCACTCGCACTCTAGCAAGAGGCACACCGATACCATTCTGCTGAGGAGGAAAAAAAAAAAAAAAAACCTACAACTACCTTAAGCGATTAAGACAATATGCGCAACTCTCGCCTTTCATAGCGATCTCTATTTAAATCGGGCAAGAGCCGACACCAAGCTTTGCAAGAATGGAGTCGGTAAAACAAAGGATTTTGACCCCGGGAAAAGAGGGGCTAAAGAATTTTGCTGGAAAATCCCTCGGCCAGATCTACAGGTAAGGGAAAGCAAACCTATGTTTGCCTGGGACTCAGCATGAAAAAAAATCTGCAGAGCTATTTCCTTAAACCCTGGTTGCTTAGAGATTGTAATATGATCGGAAAATCTTTCTTTTTGCTCATTGCTGAAGTGAGGCTGCTCTGGAAACCTACTTATTAATTCAGGAATGTTGCACTAAATTAACCTGTCTGCTGTTTGTTTGGATGTGTGTGTGATTTTTGTTTTGGTACCTGCAGATTCTTATCCTTTCCTACTGAGGATTTATCCTTTTACAATTGAGAAATGACCTGCACCTGTTCAAAGAGCCTTTCTTTTGTTGCTTATAGTGACACCAAATTAAATTCCTTTAATGCAGAAAAAGGAATAAAGAACACAACCACCTAAAAAATTAATAAAATTCTGAAGAGTAGTGGCAGAAAGAAAGCTGGGTCTTAGTTTCAAAACCACTTGAGTAGAGAATCCCCCAGTGGAATCTTCCTTCTGTACTGAAGGAAGAATCAAAATATATCAATAATTGATAGTGGAAGCAGTTCCTCTTTTTAAATCTGAAACAATGTATATGTATTTTTAATTATTTGACCTCTCTTTGATGTCTATTTCTTGTGTGGGAAATATCACAGTGCTTTTAAGAAGAGCCATAATAATAACCAGCCAAATGACTTTGGAAGTATTAGAAACGATTTAAAATTTTAAATCCTCTCTGTAGTCACTGTACTAGTTATTCTATAAATTTTACAACTTTAAATCTGTTCAAGAATATGACACAAATGCACCTTTTCTTAATAATAGGAGCAAAATCAAGAAGAAAGGGCAGAAACAAAAGGAGAAACGATTCTAAGAGAGTGCTAATCTTCAAACTTGGTAAATTGAAGCCTTTGGAAATGTACAGGAAATGTAAAGAAAATGACCAATGCACGTCCCAATTTTCCCAATCTTTCCAGCTCTGGTGGGCTTGTAGGCACCATCATGCACCTATGCGGCAGTAAATACTGCAAGGGCCCTGCAGTTCCACGGATGCCCTGGAAAGAGCTATTCTTTCCCAGCCCAACCGCCATCAGTGGGGAGTTCAGGTGCAGAGTTTAACTTTGCATATATGAGCATATGAAGCCAATGTGGAAAAAAAAAGATCTCATTAATGGAATTTTACACTCCTAGAATAAATACATTGCTATATGCTCTAATGCTGGAATTAGACTTTAGGAATAAGTACTAACATAGCTACAGATAGCTTTATGATCTAGTCCCCAGTTTATATTTTGTAGAATTTGCAAGTCTGACTTTTTTTTCCTGGTAGCTTCAAATTGCTTGACAGCTGTCTCCCAAGCTAGGTATTCTTGAAATTGATCTATTTTTTGCTTTCCCCGTGTGTATGAAAATGATTCTGTGTGGCAAGATACATGGTGGATTGGAAAACATCTGCAAATTGTAAACGGAGAGGTTCTTTGTTTAAATATCCATCTCAAAGGTTCACGATGTGTTACCCTTCACATTCCTCTTCTTTTTAATAGAAATTTCACGGATATACTGTGGACCAGAACAGCACTACCAGCTTCTAGTTAAACCATTCCATCACTCTACTTTCCCCTTCCCCCAAGGACAAAGCCCAAAGCGACTGGATCAGAGGGGTGAAATCTTGTGTAACACTATACAAGTTAAAAAAAACACAAACAGAAACATAAATCTGGTATCTTCTACCTTGATGTGGGACATTTTCCCAGAGTTGATCTGGGGACGCGTTCGTGTATCTGGGAATCGCATTGTCTTTAGAAACGGGCCCAGGACATTTTTCGGTGTTTGTAACTGAGATAGTAATGACGCAAGATTGTGAATAATTAATTATTCATGTCCTGGCAGTAGGAAGCTTTGGTGTCGGCCATATGCGGCGGAGGCCTTTGTTTCAAACTCTGGTAAAAAGAGGGAAAAGAGTAAGCTGTGTCACAGGAGAGTAAACGTTGAACTGGCATCCTGGGGTCAGAGGAACGGGAAGGGAGAGGGCGTGACGCTCCCGGAGCGTTCGCAGACCTCCGCGTGGGCACTGGACGGGACAGGCCTCGGTCCCCGGGGGCTCCCGGGCTCAGCCGGGACGGTATCCCGGCGCCTTCCGTCCGGGGGGGTTTAACTTAGCCGGAAAGGAAGGGGTACGCGGGTGCAGGAGTGTGCCTGGGCCCGCCGCCGCCGAGCAGCCCTCGGGAGACTGGAGGCCTTAGGAAAGCGACTCGGGTGGAGCGCTGCGGTTGGGAGGCGTCCACACAGGTGCTGAGAAGACGCCGATCGGGTCACCCTTCCTTTTCAAACTGCAGACCCTGAAAGTCAGGCCCAGGCGGTGGATATGAATGAATCAGGCACTGTGGGGTGAATCCCCGAGGGAAGGGGAATTGGCTGCCAGAGGATAAAATATTGAAAGTTTAAGAGATGTGGTCGCGGGGAGGGAGCCCGGAAGCCCCTGAAGTCTGGTGTGGCCTCAGCTCCCTAACTCCTGAGGATGGGGAAGGCGGTCAGGGCCCCCCGCCCCCAGATCTGACGGGTTCCGGGAGCTGGGAATGGTCCCGGCGTCAGGGGGTGCCTAACCCCCCGCGTCCTTGCCTCCCCACGCTGTGCCGCGCAGGGTGCTGGAGAAGAAGCAGGACGCCGGGGAGACCATCGAGCTGACGGAGGATGGGAAGCCCCTGGAGGTGCCTGAGAAGAAGGCGCCTCTGTGTGACTGCACGTGCTTTGGCCTGCCGCGTCGCTACATCATCGCCATCATGAGCGGCCTGGGCTTCTGCATCTCCTTCGGCATCCGCTGCAACCTGGGCGTGGCCATCGTGGACATGGTCAACAACAGCACCATCCACCGCGGGGGCAAGGTCATCAAGGAGGTACGCGACGGCTGGCCCGGGGGTGTCGCAGACCACTTCACCTGCTGGAGCCGAGTGCGGAGGGCGTGGTTGCCCCTCGAGGCCCCCTCTAGCCCTGCCCTTCTAGATGGGGCCGAGGCAGTGTTATCGATCCCTGTTCACGTTGGAGCACGCCGCTTCTGTTCTGTGGGTCTTCTTTTTCTCCCCAGCAATGTGGAAAATAGTACCGAGCTCAATAGTTTCTTGAGGATAGAGATTTCATACAAGGAGTTGATCCTCAATACCGTCCGCAAAATCTAAATCGAACTATTTTTCTTTTACCGGAGGAATAGAGCAGCAGATCAGTTATTATTTCCCCCAACTCCCTACAATTCTCGCCCAACATTCTTAATCCTCACAATGAAACAAAACCGAAAAACAAATCAAAGCAATTGTGCACCCATATCGACAGTTTTAGCCGAGAGGTCTTTAGGAGCCGCCCTGACTGGCGGACAAAGAGGAGCTTGACAGGCTCAGGTCAACGGGGATCCAGTCCCGCCCGCCCGCAATCCTACGCTGTGCGTTGAGTGGCGCCTAGAGAGAGGGTGGGAAGAGGTGAAAGTCAAGGTCACAGATGCCCGAGGGTCCGGAGACTTCCTGTCTAGAGACCTGAGCGAATTTAAGTCGGGCAGAGCAAGGGCTGGGGGTTGGGATGATAAATTCGGGATGAGCTGTGGATGGGAGACTGTGAGAGCTGATGGGCCCTGGGTTATTCTTGGAGATCCTGCGAAGGGCGTTTGGTTTCAGAATTTTATTCAAAGGGGCAGAAAAAGGGTCTCCAGTTGCCCGCACCTAATAAGGGCTCTTTCCTCTTTCCGTGCGGGTAGTTAGCCCCAGGTTACTGCAAGGTTCACCTCGGATGGCAAGTCACGCTGGCGAGGGCGGAGTTAGGGCCGGACCTTCAGACACACCCCTCTCCTGCTCTTCAGATTACCCCTGAGCGCCACCTCCGTCTCCACTGACTCCCCCGGTTTCCCTGGATTTTCTGAATCTTTCTGACCCAGGCCCATCCCCACTTTGCAGGGGGATCCCCACCATCCTTCCCACTAGCTCCTCCGACTTCCGCGCGTTCCATCCCAAGCTCCCCACACCCTCTTTCCCAGCCTCTTCCCAGTTGGGTTCCATTCTCCCAGCGATTCCACCGCTGCGGCCGAACAGGTCGGCCTCGGCTAATGGACCCCGGCCAGGTGTCTCTGTCCCCCGCCAGCGAACAGCATCTCCTCGCGGAGAGTCCTCACTTCCCAAACTCCAGCCCTGCCGGCTTGTCCTTCACAGAGGCGATCCGACCTGCCAGGCAGTCGTCGGGGAGCAAAGTCAAGGCGCCCAGCTTCGCTATGAATCCATTTCAAACGAGCACGGTTTTTCAGTGAAAAGAGGCGTTTCTTCTCTTTAAGAAGGTATAGATTTAATTTTGTTAGGAAACGAACATTAAGCCATCCCCACGACCAGAAGTCAGGGAGTACCTCGGGCGGCGAGGGCCGTTCGGCCGAGAACTACTGATCGTGACTTTCCAGCCCAAAGCCCTGACTAAACGATCTCCCTCCACCTGTTTGTTTTTTCCCTACTCCCATAGAAAGCCAAATTCAACTGGGACCCGGAAACCGTAGGAATGATCCACGGTTCTTTCTTTTGGGGCTATATCATCACCCAGATTCCGGGCGGCTACATCGCTTCTCGGCTGGCAGCCAACAGGTAAAGCTCCGGGGCCCGACGCGGGAGCAGAGAGGTGGGACTTAACACCCCCCCCCCCGAGGGGCAGCGGAAGCTGGGGGCCGGGGCGACAGCTCCGTGGGACTGGGGAACTCCTGGACGAGGTCTCCTAGTCCCCTGAAATCCACTCTCGGGGCTGGAACACGGTGCCTCCTTCCAGAATAAGGCGCCCTCAAGGATGTGGGTGCAGGTTACCGCCGCCCCCTCCCAGCGCGGGCGTCACGGGCTTCTGGTAAAATGGTCGACGTGCCCCGAGGCCTGATAGGTGCTGAGGCCGGCCGGGGAGCCGGGCCGCGGAGACGGTGCCGCCCCGTGCACAAAGGATGGGGGCGTCACTGCGCGCCGCTCCGCGCCTCCCTCGGGTGCCACGGCCCGGTGACCTCCCGGCGGGGCGCATCGAAAGCCCGCCCAGATGGTGCGCTGGGTCGGCCGGATTTGTTTCTATGGAGCCAGGCGGGATTTCAGGCGGCCCGGGTGCGATTCCACCTGTTAATGAGCTCGGCGGAGTAGGGGCGGGGTGGGGAAGGCGCTCAGCTGCGTCCAGCGGCCTCCAGCCTGGCTGCGGCTGTGACGGCGGCCGGGGTCCTAGCGCCAGCCCTCAAGCGCGCCCCCGCCGGCACCTGCAGAGGCACCCGGAAATGCGAGGCACGGCTGATGGGGTGGGGGTGTCAAGGAACATAGCCTGGCCCTCCGACGGTGAGAAAGAGCTTCATTTGCTTCACTGTGTGCATAATGATAGACAAAACTAAGTACTCCTTAGATCTAAGTGTTAAGCTGAGAAAGAACAGATGCCCTCGCATTTCCTGGCATTGCTGCATTGTGGTTGATGGTTTAGTCGCCAAGTCTTCTGGAACTCTTGTAACTCCATGGAGTTAGCCCGCTAGGCTTCTCCATCCACGGCATTTCCCAGGCAAGAATACAGGAATGGATTGCCATCCCCTTCTCCAGGGATCTTCCCAACCCAGGGATGGAACCCGGGTCTCTCATATTGCAGGCAGATTCTTTACCCTCTGAACCAAGAGGGAAGTCCATTTGCTGCATAGAGACCCCAAATAAAGATTTGGGGTCTTCTTTCAGAGCCTATACCTAGGACTTCACCTCTCTCCCTCCCCACCAAAGGTTAAGTTTTCCTGGGAAGTAATCTAGAACTGGGCACCTCTCTGGTCTTGATCTCCTCTCTGCTTCCCTAAACTGGTCTCTCATTCCTCAGGGACATCTCCCAAGCCCCTTCCCTGGCTTTTGTTACCTACAGCCCCATTCAGGAGAGGTGTTTTCCTGCCCCAAATTTCTCAGTCATCTCCAAGGCCTAGGGAGAGATTCTTGGGAATTTATTTTAGGCTTAATGCCCCTAGGGTGCGGATTTTTGTCCTCAAAATGTTAAGAAGAGAGTGCAATAAACTAGAAATAATGCCTTTTGAATACTGTCTTTACCCTAACATTGTGATGGCTAACACTCAGGCCCAACAGGATTAAAAAAAAAAATACTTTTAAAAATGCTATCAGTTTAAACTGAAAATTATTAACTGTGTAGAGAACCCTATTTTATGGATGGATGTGTTGACATAAGGCAGAAAATTTAAAGGAATATTTTCTTAAATATTACTGGCAATAAATATGTTACATTTTGACTTTTCTATCCCTAATGCACTGCCAAGAATTTTTTCCTAAAAATATTTTCCAAAACAAAATAAACTTCCCAGAAAGATACCCCAAACATACGTATATAAAATATTTTTCACTTCAGTGGAAAACCATGCGTCAATTGATCAAAAAAAAAAAAAAGGAAACTCAATAAAAGGTGAAATAAAAATATAATGGCTATGCCTTTAAGTTTTTTCAGAGTCAAAACCTTCAGCTTGCCAAATGTTAAAATGCTAACATTTTCCAGCCAGGAAAAAACATCAGGGATGCTTTAGCTTTCACTCTTTCTAACACTGGGAGGTCAGTAAACAGGTTTTTCTAGGTTTAAAAAAAATGCAAGCTTATTGCTATCACTTGTGTCATGTCTAGTAAAGAAAAGACTGATGCTGACTCAGGTTCTAATTTATTTGAAGATTTTCCTCAAGAGAAAATGTCCTGAAGCTTAGAATTTTTATTTGGATCCAAAACCACATTATCTTTAAGTAGATATTTAGGAGAGAGAAACAGAAACATATGTATTTTCATATACAATGCTTTGTGTTCTCCAAGGCTGAGAAAACAAAGCCAAAATTCATTGTAAAATATTGTGAACAGAGAAGAAAGTGAACCTGTTCACTTTTTAAGATTTTGATTATCTGCTTTATTTTTAATATTTTTTAAAATATTATTAAAAGCATACAATGAGAAATATACACTGGAAACCTCTTGTGAAAACAGGTTTAAAAATGTATAACATTTCCTTTTCTGATTATAAATGTGTTACATATCAAATAGAAAAAGTATACTAAAAAGAAAGGACAATAAAATTCATACATAACTTAATCACCCAGAAACACTTGGATTGACTAGTTTGGTAAATGTCCAATTAGTTCTGTACATGCTACATAGAATTTTATCTTAGAAGACTTTTTTTAACATAAAGTTTTAAAAATTTTTAGAATTGGCTTGAAAGATGTATGTTTCCATTTTCAAAACAGCAAAAGCAACACAGCAAGACCAATTTTCCACCTACAAGCATTGTGCACCCATTCTGCCTTCCCTACAGACCATTTAATAATAGAACAAGCTTTCCCTTGAGTGGGATGCTGGGGACAGAGTCCTTCCCCTCTTGGTGTAAAAAAAGCTCTCTTTGGAAGTGTTTGCCATCACTGTTGTGGGTGGAACTGGAATAGAGGAACTGACTCTCATGGAGACAGCTCCCCTAGAGAGAAGGGCTTCTGGTTACACCTCCTGGCAGATTTCTCAATGAAAAACAAACAGCAATGATTTGGCTTCTCCATTTTATGAATTAAGCAAAAACAGCCCCACTCTTGGTCAGAATACAGATTTCTTGGTTCTTTCTCTGGTCCAATTCTCAGTATTCTTGCTTTTCTGCTCATTGAGAAGAGGAGGTAGGGGAGTTGTGGGGGGAAGGAAACTGGGTCTCCAGGAAAGCTCCTGAATCATTATTTTGTTTACCTTTCCTTAAAGGGCTATTGCACACCCTGGACAGGAGAATTTAGTCAACTCCCTCTTCAGAGGGGTTTAAAGTGGGGAATCAAAGGAAGATTTCTTACAAAATCTGTACTGTTTTTCACTGAGAAGATATTTAATACAGTGATTAAAAAGTATTGGGGGAAAATCAATTTTGTCTTTAAACAATAAGATGGTAGGGCTTATGGTAACTCAAATACAAATGTGAAATTACTAAAAACTATCTTGATCTTGCATTTAGAGTGATGAGGAGCCTGGTCAATGACTTAATGGAAGAAACAACAAAATTTTTGCAAAGGCATAACCAAAGAAGGTCAGATTTATCAAAGAAAGTTTGGTCAACATTATGTTTTTAGTGGATGATGTTGTATTCACAAAGACTATTCTTGCCTCTATCTAGGTGGAAATATTATTTAAGCTCTATTTAAAAACATTCCCTATTCTGCTCCTGGCCTCCTGATTTCCCAACTCTGCTTTAATTTTTTAGGTAGCGCTACTGCCAGCTATCTTACCAGTATTTTTCTTAGTGACCTATAACTAAGAAATAGCTGCTTTTCTACAATAAAATGTAAGCTCCGTGAGTGCAAGTAGTTTTGTCATGTATTAACACCACTATATCTCTAGCATCTCAAAGAGCCTGGCTCATGATAGATACTTGTTGAGTAAATGAAATAAACGTCTCAACAAAGTGTTTTGTACTTTAGCTATAGATTCTAAAGCCAGTAGGTTTGTGTTCAGACTTCTGAATGTACTCCTTAATAACCAAATGGCATGAAACATTATTTAACCTCTCTGAGCTTTGGTTTGTATTTCTGTAAAAGGAGTTAGTTAAACTATTTACCTGGTAGGAGTATCATGACAGCTAAATAAGAGAATATGTGTAAAATTCTTAAGCATGCCTGGTACTCAATAATTGTTGACTGTTATTTATTTCTCATAGCATTTTATATTCAGAAAAAAATGAAAGAAAAAAGCCCTGATCATTCAGTATCATTTGTGTTTAAATTTGCCTTAAGAATTAGTAATGCAAGAAAATTATTTGTCTTATGATAAAAATAGCTCTTTTCTCATATTTCTGCCTTTAAAATTATTTTCCCATACACATTATTTATAGTTAAAATTATTGTTTGCTGAAAGTGCCATAAGTCTCATGTAAAGGCTTGTAAACAACTGTCTTAAAAAATGCTTTTAGCCACCGGTATAGGGATTGTAGAATTTCAGTATATGGAATCTTTTTGAGTTCTAGCCAGGCATTATAAATACACTTAGAGAAATCCATATGTTTGAGGTTAGACTTCTCTGATGAAAATTAAAGATTATTTCCCACACCCCTATTCTTTATTCAAAGAGAGTTCAGTTCCTAATGGAACATTTTATCTTTTCAGGTATTCTTGGGTTTCTAACTTGACTTTTGCTAAAGAGAAAACAGTTTTTTATTCAGATAACAAACTGACCATTACATGTATCTGTAGCATATAGTGAACTCCCAATAACAGAAAAAACAGAAAGTGAAGAAGAGCTAAAGAGCCTCTTGATGAAAATGAAAGAGGAGAGTCAAAAAGTTGGCTTAAAGCTCAACATTCAGAAAACTAAGATCATGGCATCTGGTCCCATCACTTCATGGCAAATAGATGGGGAAACAATGGAAACAGTGAGAGACTTTATTTTGGGGGGCTCTAAAATCACTGCAGATTATGACTGCAGCCGTGAAATTAAAAGACACTTGCTCCTTGGAAGAAAAGCTATGACCAACCTAGACAGCATATTAAAAAGCAGAGACAATACTTTAGAGACAGGTCCATCTGTCAAAGCTGTGGTTTTTTCCAGTAGTCATGTAAGGATGTGAGAGTTGGACTATAAAGAAAGCT